AAATTTCACATACATGAACAAATAATAATGCCGTGACAACAAGAAGACGAAGCAACGATTTCTCGAAAATTTCAATCCATACCTAGCTGCGCCGACCGACATAAACACCAACGGCCTGGACCCAGCTCAACTACTCTGTCAAAAGGAGACCGAAGTACAAATAAAACGCGTACGACATGCGCACTACAAATGATTAGTGTTGTCCCAGATACGCGAGTCCCTTGAAGTAGTGCATTTTGAGACGTTGCCAAATATAAGTGCCTTAATAAATTGCGTTATAAAAGTACAAGCTTGTAAAATTATACATTTCGTTTGATATTTGCTAAACTTGCTATTGTCTATTTTTATCTTATTATACACATTATATTGTTAGATACTCGTTTTTCTTTTCATTTTTAGTCGAGCCTGGGGCTAAAATTTTATACTGTTCAGTTAAAAAGAGCACTTTGTAGTTTTTGAAAATTAAAGTTATTTTTAAAAACTGGCACGTCTTTTTTACTTGCTATTTGTAGTTGGGTACAGGGCGTGGGGGGGGGGGGTGAACAACATCTACTATGTCCCGGTGATGGTGGTCATGTGACTTGTGAAAATAAAAAAATAAAGTTGCAAATGGATGGATTTTTCCATTTTTGGTGGCAATAAAATATAATTAGCTTTTCAACGAAATTAGGGATATAGCTTAAAACGCGATTTTTTTTAATCTAGATGATATTGCAAGCATTTTTTTGAGTCGGCGAAAGGATTGATATAAAGAAAAAACAAAAAGATTACGTGGCGAAAATCGGAACCAAAGTCGAAAAGTGGTATAACTGCTTTCAAAATATGACTCTCAACTAAAAGTATTGCCCTTGCAAGCATTTTTCATTTAGTAATTATAAACGTCAGTCCCTAGTTCAAAAACAACACAACAAGAGCGGCTGAAAATATTTACCACTTTCGCCATAAATTATTTTGCCCTTTTTTTTTTTCGAAAACTGTGTGAATAAAAGGCTGAATTGGAAAGAAATACTGAATAAAAAATGCTTGGAAGGACAACACTCTCAGTTGAGTCATACAAAAAATTTAAGAGCAATAAACCACTTTTAAAATTTTGCTTCCGATTTTCGCAAGGTTACAATTTTTTTGCAAATCAAGCCTTTTGCCTTAGATTAAAGAGACCGGAAATGTAACATTGCACACAGCGCATGTAATCTATTGCAACCTTAAGTAACTCACCAATTAAAAATCATTGCCTCAGGCGCAGCTCGTGAATTATTGTAGAGGTGGGCCAATTTGAGGTGAATAGTGCCGCAGGCAAAGCCGACCCTGGTCCGCACAAACTAATTTTTGTTTTTTACTTTTAAATAGAGAAAATAAAGGATATATTCCTTGTGTTATCTATTGGATAGTCAAAAAAGGAACATTTTGAAAATACATACACCGAAACACAAGACGAAACAAAAACCGTAGCCGTTTGTTTGGGTTTTTATTTTCACGGAACTATGATGCAGATGCTGCGTAGGCGCATTCGAACACGTGCATTGGGTTGTGGATTGGCCGTCGACAATGATTTGTCTCTTTTCAACTTCGGAGCGAGCGCATATGCAGTTATATGTGTCTATTGCAATGCATTTTTCCTTGTGGATTGCCATATAACCCATGAGGTCAATTTAAAATACAACCAAGCTGGGCCAAACGCGCAGCAGATATGAATGAAATAGGTAATAATTGGAAAATTTTACACAAAAACGTAATTGTACTTTTTAAAAGATAGTCTATTATTAAATATTTATAACTGTTTAAAATAAATTAGATGGGTCACTGACCAAATGGCCTCATGGAGAAGTCGCGCCTGATTGTTTCCACGACGCCACTCGAATTGCTCAGATAATTCTATTCTACGCTCATCTTCACGTGACTTGAATCATCATGGACCACTGTTTTTTGAATTACTTGTTGGTGTTATTAGCAATTTAAAGTGTTCTAGTTATTCAATTTTAACTTGAAATAGATTTATGTGGCCCAAAAGTACAAAAGGTTGAGTACAGCTGCTTTAGACTGAATACTTCAGACCCGCATTAAGGGTTTTCTCTAAATATTAAGCATCAAATATTTCAGAAATCAGATTTCATAGTACTTACATAAATTCACGAAGGGACAACATTTTAAACTTTTCATTTAGTCATATGTAAAAATAAGTAAATAGGCAAGCATTGCTAACGAAATTTTGTTTTTAAAAAGTAGTTTTATAAGAATATTTACTAAAAGTCGTTATAAGCCATCTTTTAGTACGTAAATAAGAAGTATAGAAGCATAGTTGCGAACTAAATTTTATTTTTATATCAATATTAGATAAATACAGGATGGCCTACTTAAAATTTTGAAGTTCATCTTATTTGCGGTCAAATCAGAAATGACATTTGAACCGTAAGTCTTAAAACAAATGCGGTTTTAAAAATACAAGGGGATAAAAAAATCCTAATCTCTACATTTTGGAGATAAAAGCAAGCGACCGATAGGGATTGCAAAAATAATCGATTAATCAGTTATTTTGTTGTTTTTATGAAAATCGATTTATCTGTTATATTTAATCGATTATTTTGGATTAATAGAATATGTTCAGTTTTTCAAAGATAATGGAATATTCGATTTTATAGGAAATACAGAAAGAAAATAATCAAAAATAATCAAAAATAATGAAAAATAATCAAAAATAATGAAAAATAATCAAAAATAATGAAAAATAATGAAAAATAATGAAAAATAATGAAAAATAATCAAAAATAATCAAAAATAATCAAAAATAATCAAAAATAATCAAAAATAATCAAAAATAATCAATTATAATCAAAATTAATTAAAAATAATCAAAAATAAAATAATCAAAAATAATCAAAAATAATCGATTATTTTAAATAATTGATAACTTTTTTTTTTAGAAAAATCGATTTATTGTTTAATTAATCGATTTTTCAGAGGTAGATAATCGAATAATTTATTTTAAAGGAAATACAAATAAAAAATATCTATTATTTTAAGTAATCGGTAATTAGGGAGCTTTGGAGCAAAACCGAATAAATCCACTATAAACGATTTTTGGGAAAACACGATTTTCCAATTGCACAAAAAGTAGTTGTTTTTTCGTTTTGTTAAAACAATATTATTGGAGACATCATTAATAGTACATACTTATCAGTTATAATTATGAAAAATGATTTGTTGTTAAAAATATGACAAAAAAAATTGATTTATTCAGATTTACTCAAATCAACATTCAAAACTACGCGCACTAATATAAGAGGGAAAACAAATTAAAATAAAGAAATATCTGTGTTGTTTAAACTACTTTACTAGTGGATTTATTCGTTTATTATCGATTATTCGATTATTTTCGATCAATCGATTATTTAAAATATTCGATAATTCGTTTATTATTTTTTGGAAACACCGATTTATCGGCTTTTTAATTAACCTATTATTTTCAATTAATCGATTATTTTCGATTTTTCAAAGATAATCGAATAATCGATTATAAAGAAAATAAAAAAAAATGGAAAATAATCGATTGTTCGAAAATAATAGATAATTTATTTCGATAATCGTCTACCCCTAGTAACCGAATGACTTTTATTAGGTTTAAATTTTAAAATGTTAGCTGGTTTCAGAATAATGCATTTTTAAAGAAAGAAGCTTTAATATAGGTACCTTTTTCCGAGGTTACAATACAAAACAGCATTTTCTCACTTTGACTAATTTTTAATTTTATGTAATAGCCGTAGAAAAAATATAATGTTCAACTCACAAGTTTTGATTTACAGTATTCGCCTGCGCACATGCCGCCATTATAATACTCGTAGACAATGAGTACCATTCCTTGTTAGATGAACAATATTCTATTTCAACATTTTGTTGTAGTCTCTTGTAGAAGTACGTAGTAAATAAACGCTAACGAAATATTCTATAAAAGAACTTCTGTCTTCGCTTTAAATTAAATGTCGTTGCATCTTTGATATTAAAAAATCATGTTAATTTTATTTCATAATACATGTTTCCATTAAACATCTTTTAAGTAAATCTAATAGTTCATTATGGTGCTAATAAACAAAGACCGTTCCTGTCACAGAGTTAAACACCGGTGTATGTTACATCTCTGGCCTCTTTAATTTAAGGCAGACACAAAAATATGCTTACAATATCATCTTAGTTTCAGAAAAAATAACTTTAAGCTATAGTTCGGGTCTCCTCCCAGTTCCCCCACTCCGTTAACCTATTTTTAGAAATCGGCAACATCCGCGCACGTTAAACACCGGTGTATGTTACATCTCTGGTCTCTTTAATCTAAGGCAGAGACAAAAATATGCTTACAATATCATATTAGTTTCAGAAAAAATGTGCTTAAAAAAGAAAAAATCGATCGATAAGCAACTTTACTTTGAATTTCACAGGTCACATGGCCGCTCCTACCACCGGGACGTAGTTAATTTTGTTCACCTCCTCCCCTGTACCCAACTACAAATAGCAAGCAAAAATGGCGACGTGTCACTCTTTGAAATCAGATGAGGGACTATTGAGTTACTAAAAGATTATTTAATTTAATTTCAATAGTACACCCATAATCAATGTATTATAAATTCATCAATTTTACTATTTTATTATTTAACGTTAACAGAACTAATAATTTGGCAAAGCCGAATGAATTCTCTCTTTCGTGTCTCAAGTAGCACATGACGCGGCTTTTGTTATTCCTGTTGCAAGTATAAATACAGAGTAGGTATAAATACAAGGAATAGTTGCAAAAATAAATGCAAAATTAAATTAATCAAATGAAATAAGTAAAAATAGAGAATGAATTTGTTATAAACATTAATAACTCACTGAGCCATTATAATGTCTATACGAGCTAGTTTAAACATTTTGAAACATTTAATTTGAAGTAAAACGCGATATAGAATGATAAAGATTGAAACAAATAATACAACAAATTTTGAATAACAATATTAGACAACGTAATATGTACTTACCCATAACATCTTCTCCATCTTCAAGTAAATAAGAGTCCTTCAGAAAATTAACAGTTTTCTCAGACACATGAACCATTCCGGGCCTCCCAGTAGACTCCATCTTATTCGCCAGCGTAACGTCATTACTCCATACATCGAATTTAAATCTTCTAGTTCCAACGATCCCACACAAAACCTTACCCGTATGTATCCCCACCCTCATATTAACCCCTTCGTTCTTCTCGTGATCAAACTGTTTGATAGCTTGTATCATACTCAGGCCCATTTCTACGCAGCAACGTGCATGATCTACCCGTGCTTCGGGACAACCGCTCACGCAATAATAACAATCGCCTAGAGTGGATATTTTTTCGCAATTGTGAACCTTGCACAAGGAATCGAACCTTTGGAAAAGATTGTTTAGGATGTCGACCAATTCTTCGGCACTTTTGGTACTAGACATTTTCGTAAAACCGACTATGTCCGCAAACAGTATACTGACGTTCTCCATATTGTCCATGTTAAACGGTCTAAATAAAGATCTAATATCGTTGGTCGAATCGGAAGATGCTCTCCTGGTGAAATTTTCATCTTCTTTTTTCAACCAGTCGGCGACGCTCTTCGGCATAAGCGAATGTATCATGTTCTCTTTTAAACGTTTCTCTAACTCCAGCTGCCTTCTTACTAACAAACTCTGACCCACTTTCATAAAGGTATTTCTGCTTCTGACGTTGTTCATGAGACATATATGGAAACCTATTAGATGTATTGCGAAATGGCTGAGAAATTTTGCCCCTAAAACGTTGAAGCTCACATGTTCGTCCAGTTGAATGATGTTGACGACCAATTCGTAAGCAATAGAATAAAAAAATCCTAACAAAAGGCTCACGTAAAGCTTCAGAGGTACGAGAGTATAAAGCAGAAACAGTATCTGGATGCAGAGCGCGAAATGACCAACTGGTATCGGTTGTACGACGACTATGAACACCAAACTAAGCATGATAAGCAGAACGGACAATGCGGACGTCAACGAAGTCATGTTTGTATCGAACACTTTCGTATGAGTGAAAATAAGAGACAAAATTAGGCAGAATATTAAAACGAGGATGAGACTGCACACGAGATGCCAGCGGCGTTCGCTTCCGAGGAAACCGACTACCAAGAAATACGTCAACCATGTTGTTGAGATCACTATGAGATATATTAGAGCGTACCTGCAACAAAATAATTACAATGATTATACATTCACAATAGGGTGGGGCAGAAAAAACGACAATTTTTTTTTTTTTAGTTTCGTACGAAAATATGTTAACTTATCGTTTTTTAAGACCCCCCTCCAAAGGGCAGCTGAAAAAAACATTTTTTAGGGGTCGCTCAAGATTTTTCAAAATTTCAAAATTAGTCAAAATTCGAGTTTTTTATTTTTTTACTTGTGACGGTAGAATTTTGTACCCTAAAAAAGAAAAAATGTCTCAAAATTTTAGCAATTTTAGCTCAAAATATGAATTTTTAACGGTCGCTCATAATTTTTTAAATACAACATTATTGCTTTTGATGTTTTCGAGCGACCTTTAAATCTTAATATTAAGAATTAATTTCAATTTTTGCTTTTAAGTAGCAAGGTAATAGATCAGAAATCACCACGAGACAGAAAAAAATCCAATACAACAATGAAAACATAATTTTTAATTTTTTAAAAATCTTGAGCGACCCCTAAAAAAATTTTTTTTAGCTGCCCTTTTAGAGAGGGTCTTAAAACATGATAAATTAACATATTTTCGTACGAGACTCAAAAATAAAAATAGTCGGTTTTTGTGCCACCCTAATTCACAATGTAATAATTTACTATACTTCTAGTCTATTAATAATCGATAATCATACACCGTACTTGACAAATAGCTCATAATCATGTTGGTACATTATTGATGAAAAAGATCTAGTAGGCAATGTTTTGTAACTGTAACTATAAATTATTGAGCTATCATATTTTATTAATTCGTGATATAATCAATACAACTTTTGGTATCGGGACTAGGATAATCACACAAATTAATGAACTCGGTGTGCATTACCTTATTTGATTTTCGAGATATGTAGTTTTTATCAATTCACTCATATTTTTTATACCAGAGCGTAAGAAGTTAATTGTCTTTAATCATTTTATTCATTTTTATTTATTTTTATTAATTTTTATTTAGTTTTATTTATTTTTATTTATTTCTATTACTTTTATTTTTTTTTTAATTTTTATTTAGTTTTATTTATTTTTATTTATTTCTATTACTTTTATTTTTTTTTTAATTTTTATTTATTTTTATTAATTTTTATTAATTTTGATTTATTTATTTTTATTTATTTTATTTTTATTTATTTTATTTTTATTTTTATTTATTTTTATTTATTTTATTTTTATTTATTTTTATTTATTATTATTTATTTTTATTTATTTTTATTTATTTTTATTTATTTTTATTTATTTTTATTTATTTTTATTGATTATTTATTTTTATTTATTTATTTTTATTTATTTTTATTTATTTTTATTTATTTTATTTATTTTATTTATTTTTATTTATTTTTATTTATTTTTATTTATTTATTTTTATTTATTTTTATTTATTTTGATTTATTTTTATTTATTATTATTTATTTTTATTTATTTTTATTTTTTTTATTTATTTTTATTTATTATTTATTTTTATTTTATTTATTTTTATTTATTTTTATTTATTTTTATTTATTTTTATTTATTTTTATTTATTTTTATTTATTTTTATTTATTTTTATTTATTTTTATTTTTTTTATTTATTTTTATTTATTTTTATTTATTTTTTATTTATTTTTATTTATTTTTATTTATTTTTATTTATTTTTATTTATTTTTATTTATTTTTATTTATTTTTATTTATTTTTATTTATTTTTATTTATTTTTATTTATTTTTATTTATTTATTTTTATTTATTTTTATTTATTTTTATTTATTTTTATTTATTTTTATTTATTTTTATTTATTTTTATTTATTTTTATTTATTTTTATTTATTTTTATTTATTTTTATTTATTTTTATTTATTTTTATTTATTTTTATTTATTTATTTTATTTATTTTTATTTTCCCCCTTTTATTTATTTTATTTATTTTTTTTATGCGTAACTACAATTATAATTTTCAAATTCCCACCTTTAAAAAACCGATACTTTCCCCCCCGATTTCTCCCTTAAAAAGTGACAATCCAAAAACACTGAAATACTTCATTATTTATTTATAATGAGTAGCTACAATTTCAAATTTGAAGTTCCTACCTTTAAAAAAATCGATACACCATTACAAACTTTTAGTCCCAATTTCCCTCCCTTAAAATAAAAATTCAAAAACCCTAAAATACATTATTATTTATGATGAAGAGCTACAATTCCAATTTTCAAGTTACTAAAAAAAATCGATACCCCTCTACAAACTTTCACCCCCCAATTTCCCCCCTTAAAATGTAAATATCCAAAAACCCTGAAATACGTCATTATTTATTTTTATAATGAGTAGCTACAATTGCAATTTTCAAGTTCCTACCTTTAAAAAAATTGTTACTTCCCTACACACTTTCTCCCCCCCCCCCCCCCCCCTAAAATGTAAATATACAAAAACTCTAAAATATGTCATTATTTATTTATGATAATAATAATAATAATAATAATAATAATGTTTATTCAAAAAGAAATAGTGTTTTACAAGAACAAGATAATGATAATACAATCAGATACAAATAAATAAATATATATAATTTAATTAACAAATTTTTATCGAATAAACATGGACCACCGTACGACTCGCTTATGACCTACACAGGTTGCGCGCGAGTTTTCTTGTTTAATTCCATTATTTAAATTCAATTTTTTTTTTTTTTTTTTTTTTTTTTTTTTTTTTTTTTTTTTTTTTTTTTTTTAGATATTATTGTACTTTTTAGTTCTAATTAATTTATGTCTCTTTCAATTAGAGAATGAATAATGGACCTTTCAACATTTAAAATAAATGATTTAATAAATGATTTTAGAAGATCTATTGAATTGATTGATATTAAATATATTTTATACACGTTCGGCAAAAAATTGTAGATTACGGTACTTAAAAAATTTAATGATCTCTGTCCTATGGTCTTGTTTCTTAGAGCAATTTGGGTATTCTCTTCAAGTCTATATCGGGTATTATAATTATGTTTAATTGTTTGAATTATGGATTTATTTTTATAAATATATATAACGACATTGAAAAAGTATGCTTGTCTAACATCCAATAGTGATGTTTCTTTAAATAGAGAATTAGATGGGTAAGTATTATTTTTATTATAAATTATTTTTAAGAATTTCTTTTGTATTACTTTTAATTTTTTCAGATGAGTTTTTGAAGCAGAACCCCATGATAAGATAGCATAGTTGATTCTGGATTCAACAAGTGAATGATACATTATTTTAAGATATGCCGGTTTTAGAATAGTTTTCATGTATTTTAACTTATATAATAAGGTCTTAAATTATTTGTGATGTTATTTATATGTATGTCCCATTTAAGGTGGGAATCTATAGTTACGCCTAGGTGTAGCTACAATTCCAAATTTCAAGTTCCTATCTTTAAAAAAAATCCATACTCCCTTACAAACGTTCACCCTCCATTTCCTTCCCCTAAAAATGTATAATTCCAAAAACATTGTATTACGTTATTATATATTTTCAAGCTGTTGCCCGCGGCTTTGCACACGTGGAGTCGTGTTAGAAAATAATGCATGACTTCCCAAAAAAAAGGAGGGATAATATGTAATACCAATTTTCGAATAATTGATTATTTTCGATCAATCGATTATTTTCGATTAATCGATTATTTTCGATCAATCGATTATTTTCGATTAATCGACTATTTTCGATTACTCGATTATTTTCGTTTAATCGATTATTATCGATTATTCGATTATTTTATATTAATCGATTATTTTCGATTAATCGATTATTTTCGATTCATCAATTATTTTCGGTTGATCGATTATTTTGATTCATCGGTTATTTCGATTAATAAATTATTTCAATTAATCGATTATTTCGATTTACCGATTATTTATTTTGATAATCGTCCAGCCCTAGTCCTCACCATTCGCCTGTGATTACATCATTTCCTGTCTAAATTTTTAACGCCGAATAGCGTCATTAAATTCACTCATTTCATCTTACAATAGGCAGCAGTCAAATGCCCTAACTACATTTACTTAGCTGTACTATAAACGTATCGGTCGTATCAATTGTTAGTACAGTATCAATACTGTTCAAACACAACACGGCGACAACAATGAATTCTTTGCTGTCAGATTATGACTAACATGAAATCATTTAGCTAGATTTGTAAATGACCTATGTCAAATTCAGTTCCATATTTTTTTACAAAAAAATTTGAATGTGTACAAAAAAAAATCTATATATATAAAATTGTTTGTCCTGACTGACTGACTGACTGACTGACCTATCAGCGTACAACCAAAACTACTGAGCCTAGAAAGCTGAAATTTGAAACGTAGGTTTATTTTATAACGTAAGCATCCGCTAAGAAAGGATTTTTGGAAATTTTAACTTTAAAGGGGGGAAATGGGAGGAAATGGGGGAAGGGAGCTTTTAATGAAACTCTTTGTTCTTTAAAGTTAGAAACATGAAAATTTAAATTACAGCTAATGAGCATAAATAAATAATGACGTGTTTCAGGGTTTTTGGATTTTTTACATTTTAAGGGGGGAAAACGGGGGTGAATGTTTGTAAGGGACTGTCGATTTTGTTTTGTTCTCTATGAAGTTAGAAACATGAAAATTGGAATTGCAGCTACTGACTACAAATTATTAATGACGTGTTTCAGGGTTTTTGGATTTTCACATTTTAAGGGGGGAAATGGGGGGCGAAAATTTATTTGGGAGTATCCATGTTTTTGGTTCACTTTAAAGTTAAAAACATGAAAATTGGAATTGCAGCTACTGAGTACAAATTAATAATATAGTGTTTCAGGGTTTTTATATTTTTACATCTTGAGGGGGCAAACAGGGGTAAAAGTTTGTATGGGAGTATAACTTTTTTTGTTCTCTTTGAAATTAGAAACATGAAAATTGGAATTGCAGCTAATGAGTACAAATTAATAATGACGTATTTTAAGGGGGGGAAACGGGGGGGGGGGTGAAGGTTTATTCGGA